CTGTCCACAAACAAAGGAAGCTGGTATGTGTTTGGGCCCCTACTGTGCATCTGACTCTCCAGACACTTGGACATTTTACCTTATTTAATTCTAGGTATTATTTGGCTCGTCTCTAGATGAGGAAATCAGGGCTCGAGAGGCCTATTGCATGCCCGGGTCATAGAGCCAGCAAACAGCAAGACCTCAGACTAAGTCCCAGGTCCGCTGTCCCCGGGCTGTCACCTCCTCTGCTGACCTCCTGCTCCCAGCACCTCGCATCATATCAATGTCCCACCACCGCTCCGTCAAGGGACCCCTCCTTAGAGTTCCCAGTGGAACAACATCACCCCCACCGAAGCAGAAAGATCCAACTCCGAGGGAGGACACAGAGAAGTTTACAGACATCCTGTTCCATTATAATTTGTGGAAATTACTGAGGACGTAAACACCGAAATAACGTTTGGGGGAGTAAGTTCCATCTGCTGTGGCTTTTAAACACAAACAAAATGCACATTTTTGCTAGTAGGTGACAACCACTGTAATAGCAATAAATACAAGTAGTTAGTTCTCAGACAAAGTGTAAGTGATCCATGCCAGCTCAGCTGTCCACAGATGCTTAATCACTTTTCTGGGTGGATATTGTTATAAAACCCTCCGCGGTCGGTGGTACCGGAATCCCCACTTGGGAACCACAGGGCCACACCTCGCTGCTTCTAGAAGGCTTTGCGTCCAGCAGACCCGCAAACACCCCTGTTCCCAACCGCACGAGTCCTCACCCACAGCCAAAATTAGCCTTGTAACATGTAAATGAGATTCCATCCCTCCTCTGCTCAAACCCACTGATGATTTTCATTAGCATGAAGGAAAGCCTGACCTGCAAGCCTTAAGTCAGCGCTGGCCGGTGGGTCTGGAATTGCCGGGAGGAGGTGTTTTGAAAATCTGGTGTAATTTCTGTTTTGGTAAAGACTGGGCACCACAACCAGTTGTAGAGAGGAAGGGTACCTGGGGCTTGTGTGCCCTGTCCCCCAAGGGGCAGGTGCCTCTCACACAATGCAGACTCGCCTCCTGTTGCGTACTTCTTTTGAATGACCTACTGAAAAGCTAGCTGTTGGTGTCTGGGCCTCGGATCTAACTTGTTTTTACGTATAAATACAGAGCTTTCTGCATGATTGAAAACGTCCTAAAATATCCGTGAATGCAAAATGCTGCAGTCTTTGCAAGAAGATCAAATTTGTTTGGATTACAAATTTATCGACAGCGTTCACCAGTCTGGGGACTCACAACCTGCTGGTACAGTGCATCCCTCATGAGCTTTAAGTCGGCCGGGAGGCAAGCCTGCGTTCTTCTGCACTTACATATCCACAGGCACTGAACTGAAGGTGATTCTTCAAGTATAAGACTGCTAGTGTAGCATACAAATCAATTATTACACACTTACTTCCTTTGTCTTATATTACAATGAGGATATTATAACTTTTTAAATTTTGTGCACAGGAAGCCTACATGACCTATGAATTTCATTGCTGGAGAGTAAAGGAGAAGCGAGCAAACACTGGCTTGACTTTACAAGGCCGAGCTGGGCGTGACGGGAGCGTCACCCTCTGGGACGTGCCCCATACGAATGTCTGAACCCATCTCCCCACGTCTCCCTCCACACCAACCACACTGACCTCGGTGCTGTCCTCCAAAGCCATCTACCTCGTGCCCAGCTGAGGGTCTCTGCTCTGGCTCCTTCTCTGTTTGAAACGCCCACCCTCTGGGTCTAATTGATCTCTCTGGTTTCACTCATTCTTCGCCCAAATGTCTCCTCCTGTGAAAGTCTCCCGTGATCGCCATGCCTCGCATCAGTCTACCTCTTCTCCTCAGTTAAGTCCCTCCCGGAGGTACCTCTCCCTACAATACTATCATAATGGCATTTGCCCATCTGTCTTTTATCTCTGCGGCGGGAACACGCAGGCGACGCTATTGTGGATCCTGGGACCTAGGACGTGGCAGGTGGCAGGAAGCGGGAGCCCGATGAATGTTTGTAAAGTAAACGAACTAATGCCTGAAGATACCCCCTGTGTTCCTGATCTCTAGAAGCCACATTTCTTCCTCTTCCATCTACATAAATTATAGCCAATCTAAGTCAGCGTTAATTCTTTAAATATATCCATCAAGTGCCTACCATATTTCAGGCACTGAGAATACAGTAATAAATAAGGCACATCTTGCCCGCATACCTTGTAATTAATGACCAGCTCTAGCGCCGCTGAAGCATTTGAGTCCTCCAGTGAAGTGACTTTATAAAAAAAAAAAAAGCGCCAATTTCTACTGTACGTTCTGAGCATCATTACAATACAGAAATTATGATATTCATAAATCAGAAGTTAGCTCTCATGTATTAAGAAGAAAGCTATTATCTCATATAAAGAAATTTTTACCAGTGTGAGAAATCTTGCCCCCAGTGCTTGTGATACCCTTCTTCAAGTCCCCAGGACACCACCCCTCCGAGACTGGGGTAGCCGGAGGCTGGCTGACGTGTGAGCATGTGGAAGCTTCTAGTTCCCTTCAGTGGTAGAGCTTGCAGGGACCTCTACCCACCTGGCTGAGGCGAGGCTCCCAGCTAAGACACAGAGGAAGCATCTGCTCTCTGAAGGATTCCACCAGCTGGCAAGTTCAGCCCCTCCTCTTCCCTGGGGCAGCACGAGTCAGTATCAGCCCCAGCTGATGGCCCACAGCTGCCCTGGGTGTGCTGGACAGGGGCTGACCATCCGCACCCTTCCCTTTCCCCACTTGGCAGCCAGGCACCCCTCCTGCCCATGGAGGACACAGAACGCAGAGCTGACCAGCCTATGGAGCCGCATCACGGACTCTCTCATCATTTTCCCGTCTGGAGGACACACAAAACAACCTTGTCACTATAAGTAAGCAGTTCAAGTTCAGAGAGGTTTTCTTAAACCATGGTCTTCAAATTCCCAGGTCTATAATGGACATGATTGGCTGAAATCAGGTTTGGGGGTTGTCCACGGCTTCAGTCCTCGCTGGTAGCGAGCCGAGGAGCTGGCTACACTGCATCCTCAACAAACATTTCCACAAATCTCAATTCAGTGCCCACGTGGGCACACATCCCTCCCAGCTTCACCCCCAACCTCCCACCCCCACAATGTCAGGGAGGCTTTATTCCTAGAAAGCTTCTAGAGTTGAGCAAACCTTGGAACAGGCCATAATGAATTTGTACCCTTGCCCCAACTGTGAACAACCTCCCTACTTCTCACTGTGAGCAGCCCTCTTCCAATAGAATGATGAAGGGGAACCAGGACGAAGTAGCATTCTGGGCATGGTTGAAAAAGATGACATGCCACTTGGCCAAACTCCCTCCCCACCCCACCCCACAGACACCAATTTTTCCTCTCAGGCCAGGGCTTAAAGCAAAAATACCCAGCACAGGCAGAGCTAACAATAAAAGAAAGACTCCAGAAGGGTCTGCCTAGGAATTTCTGGTCCCCCCCTGGTATCTTCCAAAGGGCACATCCACGGGGCTGGTGGGGGAGAGTTAATATCTGTGGGCTCTTAACTGCAAGAATTTTAAGTCCCTTTAAAGCACCAAAGTGCTTCAAAAGAAGTTGAGGAGTTTCAATTTGCTACAAATGTGCAGGTGCCCTAAAGGCAGAAGACATCCATCTCCCACCATCAGTTTCCCACCCTAACTGCCCTGTCAGTTCCCACCTCTTGGCAGGGTTTGGCGGAACCCAGTATGGATTGGCCCCCTCACCCCACGCCAGCTTCCCAGAGCCTGAGTGCAGGACTGTGTCTGCTGGATGTCCGAGCAGAGCCCCACGTGGGAGAGATGCTGACTCCCCCGCAGCCGGAGGAGAGGTGTGTGTCTCAGGTTTCCTGGGTTCACCTGGGGTGGAGGTCACTTCCTGGCATGGACGGCTCCCTCTAGCTAATAGACTGGAGGCCTCAATATTCGAGGGAGAGAGAGAGCCAGACCAGCCCAGAATAGAAACCCAAGCTCCCAATCTTGCTGAATGTGGCCACTGGATGAGGCAGGGAAGAAGAGCAGAAGGGAATGCAGCACGAGAGAGGGGTGAGGAGATGTCTTGATGGAAAAAGGGAATGATAGAAATAACCTCCCCACACACACCGCCCTCTGAGCTTGCCCTGCAAAGAGGAAAGGCTACCAACTTTCCACAGGAGCGTGAGACCTTTGAGTTTCCCGGGACAAGTTCATCTGCCCCATAATTCGTGTACTTCTGTGCAGTTTATTCCGCCGAGAGCAATGAGCGCCTCTCACCGTGTAGATGAGGAAGCGAGTGATGAGCTCTAGCACAAAAAGCCCCAGCAATGACAAAGACGGTGAATAAATGTCCTCTGCACAACCCCATCCGCCTCCTGACCCACCCTGGTCAAGGGGGCCCTTACCTTAGAGGACAGCTGGACATTTCCTCATGGGCATGCATGTGGGTCAGTCTGCCTTTTTGTGTTCTCAGAGGAGAAAGAGGGAACCAACCACCGTGGTACCAGAACCCATGGCCTGGCACCTCGGTCCCTGTGTGCCAGTGATTCCCCTAGGAAGCAAAGGATTCAAAGGCTGTGTCAGTCCGGCTGAGCAGAGACAGGCAGCTGACATCTGAGCCTTCCTGAGACAATGAAAATCCATAAAGGAGGAACAGAGAAAGAATGAAGGGGGAGGGAAGGGAAAAGGAGAGGAGGTCCAGGATTCCCAAGGAAAGGGGTTTCCTTTCTCTTCCCAGAACCTCCGGGGACAGATAAATACAATTATCAACCTAGCATGACAGCACACAAAATAAAAGAGGCACCTGCCAGGTGACCATCTCTGCCGGGACTCGAACCCGGAACCTCTGGATTAGAAGTCCAGCGCGCTCGTCCATTGCGCCACAGAGACCTCACCACACACACAGCATCAGCACCAGAACTGAAAAAGCACATACCTTCTGCATCACCAGCCATCTCGGCATCCTGCTCCCGAGCGGTGGGGGGGCAGGGACAGCTGGAAAATCTGGAGTGGAGATCCACCCGCCGGCTCCGTCAAAGCTTTTCTCAGCACTGTGGGTCCTGGGTCCTTGGGGGATCAGAGGAATGGGGCCATAGTCATTTTCAGTCCCAGGAGCTCTGATGGGGTAGGATGGAGCTAGAGCCTTTGCTCCTTCCTCTCCATCCCTGAGGGAGGATGCAGGAAAGTCTGTCTATTCTCATGCTAATTAAGCAGAGCGCACCCTGCCCAGTGAGCAAACCGAGCCGGCTCTACCTCCACCCCTCTCCCTCACTGTGGTTTCATCCCAGTCCCGCTACTCTCAGATAGGGGCTGGGCAGAGCTGGGGGATTTAGGAAAGCCCTCCTTCCCTGAGACAAAGGAGCCGTTCCCATAAAGAAGCTGTGTGAACCTCGTGGCGGCACAGCCAGGCGGGGAAGCCGGGCTCCGGGAGACTGGTCCAGCTCTCAGCTGTAAGAGCTGCATCTGTCAAGCCCGGGGAAGCGATACCGAGTCTAATGTGATGTGCCTTCAGCATCTTCACTGGAATCACGGATGGGGAGGAGACGGAAGAGTGGTGAGTGTGTGTGTGAGAGGGAGAGAGGGAGAGAGGGAGAGAGGGAGGGAGGGAGAGAGGGAGAGAGGGAGAGAGGGAGAGAGGGAGAGAGGGAGAGAGGGAGAGAGGGAGGGAGAGAGGGAGGGAGGGAGAACATACAGGGAGGAGGGTAAGCTCCCTAATGAAATACAGGTGGTCCTCACAAAGCCCTCCGGGAAACCTACCTGCTCCCCTTCCCCCACCCTCCCTAGCTCCAAGGCTGCCATTCCTTCTTCCCAGGACTGCCTAATTTAAAGAATGAGGGTTTCTCAGCTGCTGGGCTTGCCAGAGGAATCCCAAGGCAATCAAATCAGCCAGCCCTCCATAACCATATATAAAGACCTCCAGACCCCCCCCCCCCCCCGCCGCCGCCCAGATCCAAGAAAACAGTTCCTATTTTTAAAAGCCTCCTTGAGAAGATGCAATCCCTAATCTCTGTTGGTTATAATTTCCCCTGTGCTGGTTCTCCTGAATGTCTAATCCAAGTCCTTCCTGCCTCACCTTCAGCTCTTTCTCTCCTGTTTGATTGCCACACGCATCAGGGGAAAATTGGCCTCTATGCTCCCAAGGACAATGCACTGATTTAAAGACTGATTCAGTGTTCGCCAGCCCACTCCCACTTACAAGGTTACAGTAAAAGCAGAGAGCTGACGCACGCTTCCTCCTCTCCCCTCTCAGCATGTGCTTCTGTGGCCCACCACCCTGGCCCCTGCCAACTGACTCCGATCACAATTCAAGACAGTTCCTTCTAACCCGTGAGACCAGCTGATGGCCAAGTGAAGAACAACATGACAACCGGAAGGTCTTGAAGGGCCCTTAAAACTCTAAGACTCACACTTCCCTGCCCATTCAGTTCATACAGCCCCGAGAATGAGATCTGGGCAAGAACAGGACCAAGGTGCTTCGATCAGGTCACGGGGCAAGGAGAAGACTAACACCCAGGGAAAAGCAGCCACGCCAACCAAGCGTGTCTTCCCCCTGGGACCCAGAGCCAGGAGCTCAGAATAGGGAAGCCGATGGTGCATCTACACTAAACATAAAGCAAAAGGGCATAGAACAGGCCTTTCTTAATACATCTACCCTGGACCACTCCAAGAACCTGACACTCGAAACCCAGTGCTGGCCAGATATTGCATTACATGGGGTGACTAGTAACAAGATGCTGGTCAAGGGATGAGTCAGGAGGTCCATGTGCCTGTAAAGGGAAGTTCAACCCCACATGCCAGCCAGGATCCATGTGGATGCAAAACAGGTTCTCAGGACACATCCCACCAGGCTCAAAGTTATCTTAGACACAGACACACACCCCTGCTCTAAAGATGTTGTCCTATATCCAAGAAATCTATCTGTCCTGAGCTTTGCCCAAAGCTTCATTGCATCTGAAGAGATCACATGTTCTCCACACCCTGAAGGAAGAGTCCCAGTTCCCCAGCGCCTTCCAAGAGACTCATTCACTGCTCACAACGTTCTCTCTTAGCGCTGGGGATACAACGATGAGGGAAAATAAGGACACGGTCCCACCCTCCAGGATCCTGTAGGCAAATCCCAACATAGGAACTACTCTGAAAGATGTATGGGAGAAAAGACAGAATCAATCTTATTGCACACCAAATAAGGTGTCAAGTTTCCAAGTGCACACAAAGACCTTAACTCTCAAAGCAGAAAGATCCAGCTGCAATAGCCAACTGCAGCTCACTTGCCTCAAAACCCTGTGAAAATTAACTTCTCAGCCTTTCACTTCCCCATTACAAATTAGGGGCAATAATAAATGCTATGGATAAAGATGAGCCAAGCCTTGGTATAGTCAGTCATCCCCTTTCTGCCTCTGCCCCTTGAGTTACAAGTCTTGACTCTGTTGCCTGAGTCACCTCCTTCTTCTTGAATAACCTCCCTTTATCTTTCCCTCATCCCCACAGCAATCTCCCCATTCTAGCAAAAAAAAAAAACCCTTTCTGGGACCCCTTATACTCATAATCTATATCAACAAAAATCCTCTGGACTGCCCAAGGGATTTTTTCAAATAAGAGATGTCTCTGACGTATCTTGTTTCACTTTATCATCCATGAACCAGCTAAAGCTTCTTGATAGGTGTGAATAATGTCTCTAAACTTGGTTTTTAATTTAAAAATAAGGAGGGAAATCATCAAAGAAAGTGGTAGCTTTAACGAGGCAGGAAAAGTGAGGGTAAGCCATTCAAAATGACTGAAAACAGCACCTCTTTTTCTTCTTTGAAACTAGGTATGCTATTTCTGTTTATGCAAACCCTAAGATAAGTATATTCCCCTTCCAAAAATTTTTTGTACTGATTTAATTCTCCAAAGATCTGTGACTCAAGCGTTACTCATGCCTCTAACTGAATCCATTCTTTGACCCCACAGACAAACTGGTGATGCTCATACATTATTTCATTCATAAAGTGTTGCTGGAATACATATGATAAATGCCAAAAAAATATCTCCCGTTGGCCCAGGAACAAATACAGTTAAATCCTATTCACAGTTTCCCTAGGGGGCCTATCCCTACCAGCCTGTGTTTTAAATGCTAAGGGATTTTTTCTTTTTACTTTTTTATTGTTATGTTAATCACCATACATTACATCATTAGTTTTTGATGTAGTGTTCCGTGATTCATTGTTTGTGCGTAACACCCAGTGCTCCATGCAGAACGTGCCCTCTTTAATACCCATCACCAGGCTAACCCATCCTCCCACCCCCCTCCCCTCTAAAACCCTCAGTTTGTTTTTCAGAGTCCATCCTCTCGTGGTTCGTCTCCCCCTCCGATTTCCCCCCCTTCATTCTTCCCCTCCTACTATCTTCTTCTTTTTTTTTTTCCTTAACATATATTGTAAATGCTAAGGGATTTAGATGGAGTAAGACCATGAACTAGACATTTGGACAACACAGCCTTGGACAATACATGATAGTCTCATCTTCCAGGGCCTGCCATGTCCCAACCTTATTCATTCACATCCACTGTGGGCACATCCTCTAGAAGTGATTTCCATACACCATTTTCTGTGTCCCCAACCACCAGCAGCTTCCTATCACTTTTTCGGCACCCCTTTACCCCTCTGCTAAGCACCTCTCAGGGAGGCTGAAAAGGAGCTCTGTGAAGTCAGGCCTATGGAGAAAGGCCCACTCTGCACACCTAACAGATGTTCAGCTCATAACTCCCCATCCCTTAAAGAAGGGCAGGATGGACATCCCTCTAAAACAAAGGTCCCTCCGTTCTTTTCCAGACTTTTCGTCCTCATGGGGTCTTGCCCTGTGCTCATTTGTCTCTTCTTCTCATGCATTTTTCTAACCCATCATAACGAAGCATTAATATTCCTAAAGCCTTTTGTTTCCTTCCTTCCTCAGCTGAAGAACCTGGCTGAAGATTGTTTATTCCTTCCTGATCCCTTTTCCTATCCTCTAAGAGGGAAGAAGTGAGATGATCCAGGTAATTGGGCCTCAGAGTCAAGACAAAGGAGGACAAAGGAGGGCAAAGTCTACCTGAGTCATCACATCCTCCATCCCAGGTCTAGCCCAGCGCCATGGGTTACTCACAAGTCTCCCCAAAGGTAGACCTGGACTCAATCTGTCCTGATAATGGGCTGCACCTCCAGGCACTCGCCAAGGTCACAACGGGCAGAGTCCGTGCAGAGGTCCACCCCCAAGGGAGTCTGAGGAATGGTGAAGGATCTGGGGATGGAATCTTCCTGTTTGCCTCTCTGTTTCTCCTCTCTTGGCCTCCTCTAGGAGACTATCTAGAGAATTCTAGAGAGTGTGCTCCAAGGATGTAAATTCTCTTTGGTCAAGAAGTGTGAGGAAGACTGCTTTAATGTTTAATGAAAGGACAGGCAGTGGGTTAGCACGTCCCACCAGATCTTTCTGGGAAATTGGAGGGAGATGTTCTCTCTGCTTCACTCCAATTTCCCAACAAGTGAGTTAATTCCTGGTGCTACCCCTCCAGCTCAACCCCCACTTTTCTTCTTTAGAATCCAGGCTCTGTCTCTATGCCTGTAGTCCTGACCCCAAGCCACCATCCTCGTGTGTGTTCAGCACTAACTCCCCAGTCCCATCTTCTTCCTGTGTCTTCTCGCCACCCCCTCAATCTCTCCTTCTCCTACAGAGCAGGCACATCACCTGTGGTCACGTCCTGACTTGGACACCCCCCCCAACTCCGCCATCCTCACCTCTCCATACTCCTGTCCATCTCCTCACTTTCCACATGTCGTTGGCATTCCCTAATCCTTCCTCACAAGATCTATCGTCTGACATGCCCAATTTCTTGGCGACACTCCCATCTATTCTCATCTAGGGTCTGTCTATTCCAAACACTACGATCCACACGCGCCGTTCCTGGTCTCGGGCGCACTGAGCCCGCTGCACCTGTCTCGGCCCCCAGCACTGTGGGGTGTAAGGCTCTTTGATCTCCCAGGCCTCCCAGCTCCTCCGCCCTCGCCTGTGATTTCTGTGCTCTGCCACTCACTCCAAAATCTTGGTATGTTCGCTCCTTCGCCATCAGGCCCTCTCTTCCCTTCCTCTAGATTTCATTCTCCAGATCTCTTTACTTCCCCCCACCCCAGCCCTTTAGTCCAGATCTCTCCTGCTTCCCAAATCTTCAGTCCATAGGACCTGTTCTTCTGAATCGCCTCCCACCCCATCCATGCAGAGCCAGATTCCTGTCCGGAATGACCTGCTGGTCCTTCCCTTTGCCATGTTCACCTCCAGACATCCGAGGAGCTTCCTGCTCTACCACATACCTATATCTGCTTCACTTCCAGGCCTGGGGCTCCATGCATGCACCACTGGCTTTAAAGCTGGGGGGCCCCGATTGGGCCCTGCTGATCCCCTGGCACTGAGGGACATGGGGATGGCCTGGCAACCAGGCTCCCTAATCTTCACAGACACCACAGAGAACCTGGTCCATAAAAGGGCAGATACTCTAGGCCAGAGGCCAAAGAGTTAGAAGACAGACCCTTCAAGCATCAATGATTCTGGTCACAGGTCCAGGGGCTCGAGAACGTCGATTGTGCCTAATATTAGGAGTAAAGGGGATTTCTTTGTCCTTTAACTACCTCAGCTCCACTTCCCACTCAGCCTGAAAGAAGCCTAGAGGTAAACGTCGTAGGTAGACTCTGTAACAGCAAGAGAAGAACAGTCTTCATCTTTTACAAGGCATCAGTTTACACAGAAATTGTGACCAGGAGCATCTCCATCCCAGGGACAGGGGGCCTCTGTCTGACGAAGTGTGCGCCGTTGTCCTTATCAACATAGGACTGGCCCTTCTCAAGGCCATCCTAGCTAGCATTCAGTCCCCACACTGAACACGGGCTCCAGGGGAAGCATTTTACTTTGAGTAACAGCAAGTAGCTGGATTTCCACAGTTCTCCCTCATGCTATCCATCAAAGAGTCTAAGAAACAGCATTAACAGGAGGCATCATGATGATAAAAATATTTTTAATTCTTTATCTCATTTTATCATCAGAACTCTCCTAGATTGTGGAAAGAGTGATGACCATCCTCCGCCTTTTACAAAAGGAAAACCTTGATCAAGGACAGTCAACGGCTTGCCCAAAGTCATCAGCCGGGAAGCAATGGACTGCTTGACTTCTGCCGCCGCCACGGGCAGGCATCCACAGATGGCGTGCGCTGAGAGCAGGGCATCCCGTGACACTGGTCTGAGACCTTCCCCACAAGTCTCTTCCCTGCCCTTGTGATCGAGGGGTGGTGCCCCAAGGGCAGGACAGGAGGGTGTGGAATGGCCACGGGTGGAGGGCAGCGCTGCAGGCTAAGAAGATGGAGAGTGGTGCCTGGTGAGGGTGGGAGAGCCTCCCACCCCATGGTCTCCCCTCAGTGGCTCATTCTCCCTTTAGTCACCAAAGGTCAAAGCAGAGGAAACCAATGTCCAGATAAATAAGATGCTTCACTCCAGGTCAGTCAGCCAGTCATTCACAGAGCTGCGCCCAGTCCCGGGCTCTCTGACTGCCACTTGAGGGCTCTTTTTATGCGACTATGGGGTCACCCCAGTGGGGTCTCCATGCAGAGTGTGGGGAAGGGGACGGTATGCTTAGTCTTCAGTCATCACTGAAAATAAGAAAATCAAAAGGATCAAGTAGCTTCGTCCTGGAATCACTGAATGCTCAAAACGGAAAGAGATTTTAAAATAATTAAGTTTCATTTTTAATCTTATTGCATTAGTAGAATTTTTACCATATAATCTTATTACTTTTATAAATTAAAAAAAACTAGTCTGAAGATTAAATTGATAATGCTAAGTGGGTGAATGTTTGCTCTTTATTTTGTATATTTCTGTAGTCTATAATTTTTGTCAACCCTCTCATCTGTAATTACATAGATTAGTAAACTCATGCCCATAAAAATTAAATTACTTATCCAATATTACAAAAATAGACTAACTGCTGTGGTCTGATTGGAAAAATACAGACTTTAAAGTCAGGATTGACCAAGGTTTGAATCCCAGCTCTGCAACTTACTGTGTGGTGCTGAGCACCTAAACGAACCTCTCTGAGGCTCAGATTGCCTGTTCCTTTCAGAATTCACACAAGTAAGAACACCTGCCTTGTGGGGCCATTACAAGGAGTAAATGAGACAAAGGAGGTGAAAACCGTCTGTTTCTACAGAAGGTTCTTGCTCAAGTCACTAACGGCTTCCTCATCATCAGATTCAAGAGGCTCACTTCACCTTTCTGCAGCATTTCACACCAAACCCATCTTCGTTCTCTAGAACGTTCACTCCCCTGCTTTCCATGGCGCACGGGCCTCTCCTCCTATTTCTCGTCCCTCCTTCTCTGCCCCCTTTGCCGGGCCTCCTTCCCACATATCAGGGTCCCAAAAAGCAGTGGTTATCAGACCACCAGTCAAAATGTCAGCAGCATTTCATACCATTAAATAGAAGAGAAGAGAAATGGTAGCATAGGGTAAGACAGGATGGGGCAGAACACAACAAAGCAGAAAACACCAGAAGGCATCAGCCTCTAATAAGACCCTGTATCATTTCCTGAAATGTTGTTCCAGTTAAACGTATAGGTATTTGTGTAGACATGTGTGTTCTTCGTTGTAAGAAAAAATAAATTGATTTCCTCTGTGGGTTGTGGTCAAACACACTGCCCTCAAGTGTGCATGGCTTCTCTTCTCTTCTATTTTCTCCCTAAATTATCTGAAAAGACACTGTAGCACAGATTACTGAGTAGGAGCTGAACACTCCCTTTCCGCACCTGACAGCCAGCCTGGTATATTCAGCAACCTTGAAATAAGCACCCCTCCAGGACTCACAGGCATTTCAATGGTAAGATGTACAAATCTGAACTTAAATTTCCCCATAAATCTTCTGCTCTTCACGATCTACTAATCTGCTTCATGGTAGCACCACCCACCCACTCGCTTATTAGTTTATTTATGCTGCAAATCCATGAAGAGGTACCACGTGTCACGAGATATGCTAGGCACTGGGAACAGAGAGATACTGAAGACACCGTATCTGCCCTCAGAAAAGTCACAGTCAGAGACAAAAACCAAACAGAGTCACAAAGCAAAGTGGCCCAAATGGGGAGAAACACGCAGCATGTACAGTAATAGAGAATGTGGGCAGACTAACCCCCTCCGAGGGTCTGAGGAGGTTTGCTAGAGCCACGGAAATAAGCTGTAGAAAGGAGGAACAGTTGCTCACCGGAGCGAAAGAAGAGGTTGGGTCAGGGAGTGTGTGCGTGCAAGGGCATGCGTGTGTGCGTACAAGGGCGTGTGTGTGCGCGTGCAAGGGCATGCATGTGCGTGCAAGGGAGTGTGTGCATGCAAGGGCATGCGTGTGTGCGTGCAAGGGCATGTGTGTGCGCGTACAAGGGCGTGTGTGCGTGCAAGGGCGAGTGTGTGCGTGCAAGGGGGAGTGTGTGCGTGAAAGGGCATGCGTGTGTGCGTGTGTGCACCCATGCGTGTTGGGGAAAGTAGGGGAGAACAGTGCTCTAAGAGAGGCCAGCATAAGTTACACCCAAACCCCTCGTGTGTGTGTGAGAAACTACGAGAAATGAGGGGTCGCTGACGCCCAGAGTCCCGGCGGGGGGTGACAGCCTGTGGCTGGAAGACCAGATCCGGGAGACCTTCCTCTGTCATGTCCAAGGCCTTCGATGTTAATCCCGCAGGAGATGCCGAGGCAGGGAAGGGTTTTAAGTAAGGGAGAACTGTGATTTGATGTACAATTCAGAGAGATCGTTCCGGCTGCCGCGCGGTAGATCATTTCCAGAGGGCGCGGTGCGGAGGCTTTAGGCCCTCACCGAGGGAAGTCCTAACAGAGGTCCGCACCCCAGTCATAGAACTGGCTACACACAGTAAATTGAAAGGACAAGACTGATTTGATAGAAAACAGCACAAGGGAGACAGGGCTGGCCATCGGGTCACCTGCGCTAGAAGCCTGGATTCTGCCGTGACGCCTTCCCTCAACGTGTGCTCGGTGTCCCATCAGCTGCTGTGCTGTGTGAGTCCTGGCTCGTGGGCAGGCCTATTGAAATATTTTCATAATCCCTCACTTGTCTATCTGCACCTGGCCCTTTCCCTTCCACCATCTGCCACACGGCCGACAGCGGTGGTGATTTTTCTGGAAGGAAAACCCGTAGCCCAGAGAAGAGCCTAAAGGCCATCTACAATGTGATTCCTCCCCTCTTTTCAGCTTCATTTACTCTCATTCTCCACCCACTTCCGGCCTTATGTTGCACAATGCCAAAATACTTGTAATTCCCTAAACACACACACACACACACACATAAACCCAAAAACTGTTCTGGTTATGCCTTGGTGTGCGCTGTTCCATCTTTCTGGAACGCCCTTCCCTTCTCCCGCTCCCACATCTGCCTGGAAACTGCTCCTCCTCCTTAAAGACTTAGGCCCTTCACCTCCTTTTCTGTAAGATCTTCCCCAACATCCACCTCAACCCCCGCAGACTGGAGCCCACCAGCCTCAGACAGTGACTGCGCCTGCGCACACCCCTTTAGAGCACAGAGCACACGGCACTGCCCTCGCTGTGTGCACGTCCGTGTCCTGCTGGACCGCAAGCACCGGGAGCCCCTTGTATCTTGTCAGTCTGTACAGGACCCGGCAGGTGGTAGTTAACTCAGTATATGTTTGCTGGGGGGAAAATGGATAAACAATGGGCTAGAACAGGTCTCTGTCTCCCTAGCCTAGGGACTGTTCCAGAATGCCACACTTGTTTATTTTTATAATGGAAATATTACACGGGAACCCTTAAAATGAGACCTGAGAACTTGAGACTTTTCCTGCTGTTCTACCTCAAAGTGGTATCGAAACAGTCAGCTTTGTCCAGGGCTCCAGTCTCTACGTGCTGTCTACTGAATGGGTCCTGTTAGAAGGGTCCCAGAAGCTTACCCTCAACCCAGTTTAAACAAAACTAATCTTCCTCTGTCTCAAAATACTACACCTCATGAAAAGATTCCATGGTTCAGCATTTTCCAGATCAATCTCTCAAACTGAGAGCAACGTCTACCCTTTCTCTCTTTCACCTCCCACAGCCACCACCAACCAGAGCACCCCCTTTCTGTTCCCAATGCCGCCACCCCAGCTCAGAACTGCTTGACTTTATTCCTGCATTTCTATAATTATCTTTTAATAGATCTCCTTAGAATAAGCTTTTAAAATTATTTTTTAATTACTCAGCACAGAAGCACATGATCACTGTAAAAACAAATTAAGTATATTATATAAACAATTAGAGTCCCCCTCCTTTATGACTTAATTCTCACTCCCACCCCAGAACTCGTAATTTTCCAAGCTGAACATGGATCTGAATAATAGGAGCACTCATCAAGTGTCCACCATGCGCCATGCACTGTTCGAAGAACCTTAAATAGATTGATTTATTTCCTTATGTTATACAACCCTAGGGGATATGTATGATTATTATTATCTTTATTCTCCACACAGGGAGAATAAAATACTGAGAGGTTAAGCACTTTGTTCAAAGTCACACGGCCAGTAAGTAGCAGTTCATATACTTAAACACACATTTACATGTAGATGAAATATAACCTAGGCACATATATTGTTTTAGGTTTCTTTCCTATTTTATACAAAAAGGATAATAGCATGTGTACTTTCTTTGTATTTTCATTTAACAATACATCTTGGTTATCTTTCCAAGTTGGTATATATAAATTTACCTCATTCTTTTTAATTGTTACATGTTATCACAAAGTACAGATATAGTATAATTTATTTAACAAATTCCCTATTGATGGATATTTAGGTTGCTTGCCATTTTTCTCTACTGGAAACAATGACTTGATTCACATCTATGCACATAAATTACGGTGCTCATGTGTGACTAGGCATATAGCATGGGTTTATGGAAATAGCACCACTGGTGTTTCAATTTTTAATTTTGATACATTCTGCCAAAATATCTGCAAGACGGCTGCCCCAATTTACATTTTCACTAACAATAAATGAAGGTGCCTATTTCCCCAAACACTTGCCAACACTGGATGTGATCCATCGTTTTAATTTTTAACAATCTGATACTTTTTAAAAATTTTAAAAAATTTTAACAATCTTTGATACTTTTTAAAAATTATTTATTTTGAGAGAGAGAGAGTGCACGCATATGTGTGAACGCATACAAGTGGGAGGGGCAGAGGGAGAAGGAGATAGAATCTCAAGCAGACTCCACGCTCAGTGCGGAGCCAGGCACGGGGCTCGATCTCAGGACCCTGAGATCATGACCTGAGCTGAAGCAAAGAGTCAGATGCTTAACCAACTGGGCCACCCACGCGCCCCTAGTCTTTGATACTTTTTAACAATCTCAGGTCTCTTTGTTGCTTTAACTTGTATTTCTCCAAATGCAAATGCCATTGACCATGTTTTCAGATGTTTAATAGATAACTGTGTTTCTTCTGAGAATTCCTACTTATATACCTTGTCTACTTTTCTTTTGGATTGTTTAGCTTTTTATGTGTATTTATTAGGTATTTTGCATGTTATCCATGTAATACTTAGCTATATGTGTTGTAAATAAATTGTCCCCAGACTGTAACTTACTTTTATATTTTGTCTATGGTATCTACATTTATATCATTTAAAAAATTCAAGCAGTAAAACTTGTCAGTCCTTTCTTTCATGGATTCTGGGTTTTGTGTCTGGCTCAGGAAGGTTAAACGTATTTTTACGTATTAAATGTAAATATTATTAAACACTATTTTTCTATAGTGTTGAACAATTTCTTTTGCTCTGTTTTGTTTATAAAATGTAGTACTTCAGTCCAGCTGAAATTTATTTTTGCCTATGGTATGAGGGAGGGCTCAACCTATCCCATGCCAACTGGCAAATAGATAATCTATTATTTTAATACCATGCATTAAACAGTCCAGGCCTCAGTCAGTGATTAGAAACATAGTATACGATATAGTGTATGATTCTTCATACACTATATTCATACACCAAATTCATACACTAAATTTCCACATCGGTTTGTGACCATGGTCTCTCTCCTATTCCATTGAACTGTTTGTGTAATCCTGGACAATACTTCAATGTTTTCATTGCTATAATTTTAAAGTAACTTAGGATAGCTGGAATACCATCTCCCCAACCTCCCCAACCCTGTGTGTTAAGAATAAATAAAAAATAAAAAATAAAAAATATATATATATATATATGGCTATTCTTGACTTTCTCTTCTAAGGGAATGTTAGGATCAATGGATCAAGTTCCATAAAAATAAAATATTGGGGGGACCTGGGTGGTGCAGTCGTTAGGCATTTGACTCTTAACTTCAGCTCTGGTCATGATCTCACAGTGGGCTCCACTCAGCATGGAGTCTGCTTCTGCTCCTCCCACTGCTTGTGCTTTCTCTTGTTCTCTCTCTCTCTCTCAAATAAATAAATAAATAAATAAATAAATCTTCAAAAACAAAAATAAATAAAATATTGGGATTTAGCATGGGATTGCACTGAATTTACAGATTAAGTGGGAGAAAGAATTAACACCTTTGTCATTGT